GCTTTTTTATTTAATGGTTCGAGTTTTCTCTGGCACAGTTGTTCTTAAGGTGGGACTCGAATTGTTAGGCATATTGGGGGTGGTCGGAGGCTTGTATGATAGCCTTTTGTCATTCCTTAAATAAAATACAAATTAAGTGCAATAAAAATAGTATGGTGAAGTGTTGAAATAGTCATCGAGTATATACATAGGGCCGATTGGGGACGGTTAATTTGATAGGGTTGATTTGAGAGGACTGAGTGACGAGCGGCCAATTTTAACAGATTCTCTGTACAATCTCAGCGTCTTAAACAATAAAAGTAGAATTATGATGTTGTAATTTGGGAAACCCAGTAACTCTTTTCTGCTTATGGAACAAGTAGTTGCAATTGTAATCATTTTTTATAATGAAATTCTATAGCTATGTCAAAGCCCTTGATTTTTCACTATTAAGATTTTTCATGTAAAAATTTCTGATGTCTTTATTAGTTACATTCTCTTTTTTCAATATGTGTTGAATCTTGATATAATGTTAAGACAATAATTTAAAACTCAAATGTTATGAATTTTCTTGCACTCGTCAATTATGATGATGCTGATGATGATATATATATATTAAAGTTTAAAAAGCTATGTAAGAGTTGGATGGTATAATCTAAAGCTGCCCCAAAAATAGAGAAACTGATCACCTGTTCCACCAAACAAGCATTTGGTGTAACCTGCAAAAATCCTCATACCTCGGAACTCTCAAAAAAAATTTAATGGCTTTCAAAAATAAAGATAAAATAAACGTAAACTGGTGATGTGAAAACCAAGAAATATTTATAGAAAAAACAGAATAAAACATCACTTCAAATCGTTCAAATGCAGACAAGTCAGGGTGGCCGAAACTTAAGTTCACCTCATCATCATCTTATCATCACCATTTCCATCAACAGATCACCATTTTAATTTCTTTAATAAACTTTACATGAAAATCTGTTCTGAATATCATCTCTCATGCATCATTTTCATCACACATCTTCTCTATCATAAAATAAATATATGAACTTAACTATAGAGAGGCTCTCTCTCTCTCTCTTCATTTGTGTGTGTGTGTGTGTGTGGAAGTTTGAAATTGATGTAAATGACTTTGTGCATGTATTTTACATTCTTAAGTATTGAACCAAAGGGGCACTAAAACTGAGTTTATAGCTGACATCAAAGCATAAGTTTGAGACTAGTTGTCATTAACTTCAAGGTGGATTTGTTTAGAGAATCAAAATGGGCTGTGTTATTGATCTATAATGAATTTGAGGGCACTAACTGATTGCTAAGAAATGTTATGCAAAGATATAGATGGTTGAAAAAAAATAGTTTTTTGAACAAATATGATCATGAAAAAAATATAATTTTTGAACAAGCAACTTCAAAGAATTATGGCTAAGCTATACTCTCTTTTTTCATTGAAAGGGATTAAATTTTAGATTTGATCATGTATTTATCATGGTGTACCTAGGTGAAATTAGTGCTCCTATTCTTTACTCCATAACCTTAACTTCGTGCCAAATCAACATGCTCATATAAATTCACAGATAAAATGAATTTTTTCGGTTTGTTAGACCAAATCATCAATATATTTAAAAAAAAAAAATTTTAATTTTATGTAGAAATTAAAATTATTAACCTTGCACATCAATTGTAGTAGAATTAAGATTTAAAACTAGTAAATAATTTTAGCCCTGATTTAATCAAGTTTAGGTTCTAAATATAAATATAAGAAAGTTTATGCTAAATCAAAAAAAGAAGAGTGACATCCTTCATTTTCACATATGTGCTTCACTAATACTTAATAGTTGAACCACTTTCTATGCATCTCTTAAAAGCAAGCAAAATGAGTTGAGCCCACAAAATGATACAAAATAACAAGCATTTTTAAATATAAAAAAATACTTTTCAAATAAATAAACTTCTATTAGCAAAAACCACAATTCCATGCTATGTATATATTTTCTTATCTTTTTTTTTCAGACCAAATATATAAAGGCATATAACTACATAAATAAAATCATAAATTATAATAATATTTTAAAAATTTTATAATTTTATAACTAAAATCATCATAAAATTATCTATGTTGAATATCAAAATAAATAAATATTTGTGAAAAAAATAAAGTCATTTTTTTTTTCACAAATACGCCATACAATTCTTAGGTATTTACATATCCATCACTAGACTTTAATATTTACAGACAGATCAATTAAATCATTAACAATATCAAAAATATCAATATTACTAATTTTTTTAAAAAGACAAATTACACATTTGCATGCAGAGATAAATAAAAATATTAAAATTTAAATACATAAAAATAGGAAAATTTAAATATGCCTAGCACACAATTCATATAAATATATTTTCATATTTCACACAAACTTTAATATTTACATACATAGCACTTTGGCAGTCTAAACTCATGAATTAAAAGTTATTTCCATTTTAAAAATAATAATTGTGCCATTTTTTATATAATTTTAAGATTTGAGTGCTATATGTATAATATAAAAGCTTAGGTATGCCAAATGTAAATACACTGAAATTGTGTGCTACATATAAAAATTAAGTGATATGTATGTAATTATAAATGCCTTCAGAACTTTCAATCATAAAATGTAGAACAAAATAAAATATATTTTAGACATTTTAAATAACTTTAAAATATCAAATAACTAGAAAAAAATAGCATCATCAACTTAAAACTGATTTTTCTAGCGGATGTGACTGCTTTCCGAATGATGTCCCATCACCTTGGAATGAAAAAGCAAAGATTCTCAGCACTGACCAACTCCCAAATCCCTCACTTTCGATCAACGGAGCCATCTCCGACCACCTACTGCCGCCACATCTCCGCTGCTTTTTTCACACCAGTCCTCCGCCGTCTTCCACCTTGACTCCGCCGATACTCTCATCCCTATTACTCCATTAAAGCTCGGACTTTGCAACCTCCCACTGTAACCATCATTTTCGTAATAAGGATCGAACAATAACTTCTTCCTTGCTGTTGAGCTCACCCATTCCCTCTCCGGCGTCATCGGCCTCTGCTTAGGCGCACTCTGTGGCCGAAACCTCGCCATGGTGGACTCTGTCGCCGACATATAGTTCGGTGCAGACCTCATCTGCAAACTCCGAGCGCTCGACGGCGATGGAGTTGATGGAGATAAAGAAGCTTGGCGGTGCCTTGATCCAGTATCAACCTCTAGTGTCTTGATGGCGTCTCTTTGCCCCGTGGATGCTCTTCTCCTTGTCCGGCGATCCTTCTGCTCTGCTTTTTCCTCGAATTCTAGTAAACCTGATCTGTCTCTCCAAATCTTTCACAAAAAGATGAAATTTTTATCAGGAAATCTTCTAGTAAAGATGAAAAACTTCATAGAGGAATATTAAAGAAAGGATTTTTATATGCCTGTTGAGTGTTCAGAGCATGAGAGAGGGCATTGTTCTGGTGCCTCAAAGCTATATCCTTGCTGCCATGTAAAAGCAACATAGCTCGAATCTCCTCAACTGTGTGCTGCCTGCGCTCGTTCCAACCTTCAAGGAAGCTACTTCGGTGATCTCTAACCTAAAGGAAAGAATGATCATTAATTAGTATCAGTAAAAACAGTGATTTAGTAGTTAACTAGAAGTAAATAGTAAACAGTACATTAGTTCTCTTCTCTGTTCTGCCATAATCAACTGCAGCTTCTTGTGCGAGCCTGAGGCGCTGATCCCTCATTCGATCTTGAGCTCGGATAAGAGCTTGCATGCATCGCAGGGTCATGCTCGCCTGCTTCCTAACATTGTGCCCTCTCACCAAAGCTTGCAGCTTTACAAGCCCTTTCAGGGCCCTTAATGCCCTCCTTGCCTTCATAGAAAAATAGAAAGACGAAGAGAGAGAATGAGAGACTTAAACGAAAAGGAGAAAGCCATTTTCAATATTTAAGAGCATTGTGGGGGTGGCAACAATCGAGCTCTTTCAAGACGAAGAGAGAGAATGAGAGACTTAAAAGAAAAGGAGAAAGCCATTTGCAATATTTAAGAGCATTGTGGGGATGGCAACAATCGAGCTCTTTCAAGGAACAGCGGCTCTCACACATGGAATGAATTTATCAAGTGAGTCTTTTGATTTCAATTGAAGAAGAGAGTTGGATTAATTATCTTCATTATTTAAAGTCTATTTCATGTGAATTCATTTTTTTTTTTTTAAGTTCATCTTTCACCCATCCAGAAATTAATTTTATATTATTTAACATAACATTTCAATTCTAATTAAATAATATTAATTTTGAGCTTTATTTCTGTAGGTAAAATTAAAATACTACATGCAAGATGGCATTTTAACGTTTCAAATGCTGAAGCTAAAACCCCCATTTTTGTTGAAAACGAGCTTTAAAAATGATGGCATTGCGTTAATTATTTCAACATATAAGAAAATAAAAAAAAGCTTTTTGGAAGTTTGATCGAATCACTTTATCATCTTGTGATTTTGCGTGGCTGTAAAAGCATTTCTTACCAGATATCCTCGAAAAGCTGTTTGAATGACAATGGCGGCGTCTTCCCTCAGTAAACTCGCACTTGAGCTTGTGAGCCTAACCACCTCAGCCGCCGCCTTGGCGGCGGAAGCCGCAGCCTCCGCTGTCGCCACGCCCACCGCAATGGCTCGCCGCCTCTGTTCTGCTGTTAGTGATGCCGTCAAGACTGCCACCGGCGGTGCCGCCGCCGCCGTCGCCAATAAGGTTCTCAGCGGTTGTTCGCCCACAAGAGATTTTCGAAATGCCCAGCTTCTCCTTTTTATCTTCTGCAACAAAAAAGAGCATGTGAGTCGAAAAAAAATCTTCCTTTTTTTCTCTGCTTCTCTTATCTTCTCACCTTATCTTCCTGATCCGCATTAGAAGCTTTAGTGGGAGAAGAAATGAACACTCTTTTGAATGCTGAAAGCCATGAGCTCAGGCCTTCTTTCCCCATTGATGAACCTTCGAAGAAGGCGAAGTGGAGAAGCAAAGCTTTTACTTATCTCGCCTTCTTCATCTACAATCCTCAAAGGAAAGACGAAGAAGGAAGTTCGAGTCTTGAGCGAGAACGGAAAGAGGGAATCGAGTCTCGGTGCAAGTTAAAGATGAAAGAAGCCATCTTTGCCATGGAGGTGAAGAAGAAACAGGCGTAGGGCCCACGGAAGCTAAAGCGGGTAAGATATTGGGTGTTTTCCAGTTGCCAAATGCTTTGGGCAAAAATGTGAAATACTGGGGTTGAATTAACACACGAATGTAAGGTGCAATGCGAGTAAGACAAGTGCCAGAAGGTCATTGGATAGTGATACAGGGTAGCAGAGGGTCCAATTTCGGGTCACTTTTGTAAGTTGGGCTTTGGATTGAGCGAGAGAGAGAGGTGCCTCGTGCCCGGTAAGGCTGCCGAAAGAGAACGCCTGTTAAAAAGAAAGGTATAACGGAGCTGAGGTTTATGATTAGATTTGTTTTTTTTAAGACTATATTTTGTCATGCATGTTTCTACATATTTAACATTTAAGCTTCAACACATCTCATGTATTTACATATGTCGCTTCTAAACTCTTATAAGTAGATGTACAACACTTTACTATAAAGTTTTTTGTGAAATTACAAAAATAAAGTTTTTGTGCTTGATATGTAAATATATAGGAATTAAGTGGTATGTATGCAAATCTTTCTTAAGAAAATGATATAGAGATTTTTCACCTCTTATGACGACTTCCTATGTAATGTTACTTGCTTTTTACTAGTTGGATTTTATCGTACATAAATATATTAATTTATTAATTAAATTTTAATAAATAAATGATAATTTTATAAATAAATATATCTAAGATATAGAATAGATCTAATAGACTTGATATCAATACATCTTCATTTATATTTTGGTGCTTCATGCGATATAGATAAAATAGAATAATAATAATTCATGCTAATCTCTAAGCTTATATACTTCATCAAACCATTCATTCTTCCATGTATGTATATGGTGCGTGTCAGCAAAATTGCTGGGAAATTAAAAGAAAATTTTACATATATACCAAACAATTTGTGTATATTTACATATCTAACAAAAAAAAATAATATTTTTATTATAATATTTTGGTGTTATAAATCTATGCATGACGATATGTATATATGTCACTTTGAAAAAGTAAATATAATATTGTTTTGATGTGTTGTTAATGATTTAAGTGATATGCATGTAAATATGAAAGTTTAGGTGTTAGATATGTAAATAGATTAACATTTTGTGGAATGTATGTTAGTACTTCAAATTAAAGTGAGTAAGATCCAAGGTAAATGGCACAGTTAATTTAGGGGCTTAACAAATGATGTCGGCATTTTAAAAATAATATTATCATGTTATTAAATGTTTATTTAATAGTTTTTTTTTTTAATTCATGTAATCATGATGTTCACTGTTAAGTGGGGTGTATTTTTTTTACTTGTCATGTTTTGTAGTAGTTTTTTGCTTTTAAATTATAAAATATATTAGTATGACACTTATATTGCAAACAATATTACAATACATGGGCATAATGATTTTGTCCAGAAACAGTTGCATCATAATTTTTTTCAAAGTGCAAAAAACAAACAAACAATAGTTTTTTGCTTTTAAAGTATTAAATATATTAGTATGACACTTATATTGCAAACAACATTACAATACATGGGCAGAATAATCTTGTCCAGAAACAGTTGCAGCATAATTTTTTTCAAAGTGCAAAAAACAAACAAACAACCAGCTTATCTGTAAAAGCTTGTTAAAAAATTACAGCTGCCCTAGACAGACCCTAAGCAGATGTGATGAATGTGTCAGCTTGGGTTCAGCCGATAAAAAGAAAATTCTTACCAATGAATAATATTCAAGTATGCATGGACACAAATAAATAAATAATTGAATCATTAGCTCTGGGTAATTTCTCGTTGATCGAGTTAGATGGGTTGCAAGTATATAAAATAGTCATTCAAGAAAAAATGTAAGATATCCAACACATAAATATAAGACAAATGGTTAAATATGCATGGAAAGTTAAATGAGATTTAAGGACAACTTTAATACAATGGCATGTCTCAATATAGTAAAAATATTATATGTGGATTCCGGATTTGTACAACAATTTGTATAATGTGTTGTGGTACGCGAGAAATATTTGCATACATAAAACGTATGCAGAGTTGCATACATATTAGGTTTTCAGATGGTACAAGTAAGTTCATTACAATTAAATTACAAGAAGGATTACAATGAACTTACATATACCCTCCGAATAACCTAATATGTACGCAATTTTGTGTACGTCTTACGTACACAAATATTTCTCTTGGTACACAAAGTTTGCATGCATTAAGCCTCCGCATATAATATATCTTGAAACATCATTCACATATTTATATGGAAATCAATTAATTTTGTGGGAAAAATGTTGCCGTATCATATGACTATTCTTCTTTTTTTTTTTAATAAATATTTTAATTTTTTTAAGTAATAAAATAGAAAACAAAAAAGTATTTGAATGCGTATCATATTGGTTGGAAACAAATTAGTGATGAATCCTCGGTTCTTGGATTCAAGTGCAGTGAGTTACATAATCAAATGAGTGAGAGGCGGCTAAATCCTACTTATATGACCATCAATATACTAAATGTTAATTGTTGAATGTTCTTTCACTTAAAAATTATATAAAAGGTAATTTATAAATATGTTTTTTATTGATTTATATATTTAATTATTTATTTGTACGATATTTAAATTATTTACAATAGATAAACAAATTGCTGATGTTAATTTTTTATCACTTAGGGTCTGTTTGGGGCAGCTGCATCTTATTGAATAAACTGCTTATAAACTGATTAAAAATAATATACCGATAAGCTAGGCGTGGTGACTACTACAATTTTTTTTTTTTTTTTTGAAAAAGTCAGGCCGCAGCCAGAAAACTGCCACCACACCTAGACTGGTGCGGTGTGAAAACGCTGTTTTCAACGTTTTGAAAACGCAAAAGCTGTCAAAACGTAGTTTACCCAAACAGGTCAGTTGCGCTTTCCAAATGCCACCGCACCAAATAAGATGTCACAAACAGACCTTTAATTCAATATATTTACATATCTAACATTTAACCATACCCTAATTCAATATATTTACATATCTAACATTTAACCATAAGTTTTCACATACATATCTTCTAATATATGTGACACATCATCTACAAATTTCTCGATGCATGACGTAAATCTCGAGTTGAGCAAAAATTATTCAACATTTGACCAAAAGTCATACAAAACTATCCTTTCAGCGAACTTACAGTCAAAATGCCTTGCTCGACGAAGCAGACTCAACGGTACAAAAATCGACCAATTTGAGTCAATCAAGCCCATATCAAGCCATTAAATTACTTTTAGAAACTTTTTCGGGCACAATTGAAATGTCAAACGATCTCATAATCAAAGAAATTTAGGCTCAAGTCGAGCGTCTCGGCAAGTATAATCTAATGAGCTTAAGATTTATTAATTCTTGCATCATTAATACACTCAAATGTCTATCGAACGCTATCCAATCAATGAGATATATTCAGACAATCAGATCAGAGTGATCTGAATTCCTTATTTATTCGCAACATGAACTCTACAAATATAGCTCTATCCCCCTCTTATGAAGAAGGCCTGGTACCAAGAGCTTGCAGGAGGAGAAGTTGGAGCCTGCATTGCTTCTGCATCGAAGATCAAGCGAATTAATTTCTCCTGGTCCTGTAGTTGCAAACCACATTGGCCACCGTTGACCACAATTGACCTCTATGTGTTCCTTGCATCGAAATCCCTTATGGAGTTGCAACTTGCATTGAGAATCCCAGTTTTATGTTGTGGAATATTGAAGCACCCAATGAAGCAATACATTGTTCAGCACACCGTATAACAATACATCCTAAATACAGTGCAACGACACACTCCGGATGACAATGTACAACGCACCGCACATGATGCAATGATACCTCCCGAAGACGGTCTAACAATGCACCCTCAAAACGTTGCAACGACGCACCTGATGCCAGTGTAACAGCGCACCACACATAAGATGCGACAACAACTCCTAAAGATGGTGTATAACGATGCAAACTAAATATGATACAATAACACACCCCGATGACAATATGATAACACATATCATATATAGTGCAACAACACCTCACGAATAAGGTGTGTAATAATACACCCAGTACACGATGCAACGACACACCACGATGATGGTGTAATAACGCCTCTTGAAGACTGTGTGATAATGCACTCGGTAGACAGGGACCTTCCACAGGCTCCTAAGGCCCTCTTTTCACAACTCACCACTACAACTTACGTGACTAATTACAGCTTGTATGGTCTACAACTCGTGCAGTTCCTGACTCCAACCCCTATGGTCTGCGAACGTTATCGCAACTCACTACAACGACTTATGCAACAAACTACAACTTACTTGCCCCACAACTTGTCTCGCCCCCGACTCTAAGCTCGGCGACTCGACTTCAGTCTCTACGACCTACAAACGTCATCACAACTCACCATTACGACATATGTGACTTATAGCTAATACAACTCTTGACTCTGATCTTTGCAGCTTATAGACATCATCGTAGCTCTTCAACACAACCTACAGGTCCAACCACTACACAAATGACTCACAATTCATGCAACTTTCTTATCCCAACGGCTTACGGACATCATCGCAACTCACAACAACAGCCTACATGTCCGACTTCAATTTACATGACTCACAGCACTTGCAACTCTCCTGAGACCCTAGTGGCAGATGCCCTACACTTCAACATACAAAAAAAGTTGTACTTTTTTCCTCTTTAAATTAAAAAAGTAATTTCGATTTGATATGAAAGTTTTATGGTGTATAAATATAGAAATAAAAAAAGTAAAACACAGCCCCTGCAACATCTAAAAACTCAGGAATTGAGGTATACATTATGTACGCAACGCCATTAATTTTTTTCCAGATTTCCCGTAAATGGATCAACATTTCCGCTGTTTCTCACAGCCATCTACTCACTTAAAGCAGCAGCAGGTCCAACTCTCTCCCTCTTTCCAGCCAACCACCGCATAATATAATTTGCAAAACGCGTCGGAACGCCTAAATTAAATGGGGAACTGTGCCTTTGCCGGCGGCGACGGCCCTTCTTCGCCGACGATCAAAGTAGTCACGCCCGACGGCGGTGTGATGGAGCTCGACGCCCCGGTGACCGCCGAACTCATCACCGCCGCCTTTCCCGGCTACGCCATCTTCCCAAACCGCGACCTTTCCTCATCTCCTCTGCTCCACACCGACAATCTCGCAGCCGGCGAGCTGTACAACTTACTTCCGTTGACCACCCGCGCTGCTAGTATTACTCTTCTACCCTCCGTAACTGCGCCGTATCGTGTATCTTTTGACCGCCACGCCGCTCTCTTCTCCCGGCGGCTGAAGACGGAGGCCTACTCTCCGGCGATGGCTGCGGGGGTGTGGAAGGTGATGTTCATTGATATATAAAAATATGTTCCTTTGGCTTTTGTTTTTGTAACAAAAAAATTAGTAATTTGACAGGTGAAGCTGGCGATAAGCAGGGCGGAGCTGGCGGAGATATTGGGCGAGGAAACGAGGACGGAGGCGCTTATAGAGAGCGTGAGGGCGATGACGATGTGTGCCGCCGGTGGATCGTCGGGTTCAACGGCGACGGCGTCGGATCTGCAGAGCTTCTCGAGCAGCCGGAAGACTTCGTCGGAGAATCTTGGTTTTAGCTGTTCGGCCGGAAGATTTCGCCGGAGAATGTGGGGTCCGGATAGTGATGTGGAAGATTGATTTTCCCCACCTAAGATAATTTGTTTAAGGGAGATGTGAATTTCATTTTCAATATATAGATATATCTA